AAAGAATTTGATGGACTTCTGGTTGCTCAGCACAGCAACCCATAAAAACTTTTTTTTTTCTAAAATATTATTTATTTAGTTATTTATTTTTATTTTTTTATATTTTTGTATTACATATATATTGATATAATTTTATTGAAATTTAATAATATTATTAATTATTTTGATATAAATTTAAAAAATATATACTCTCTCTATTCCACCTATCATGTTCACATTGTCGTTTCTATTTTTCTCACGTTACATCCCATATCATTTTCCTTTTTTGAAAATGATTATACACTTTAATCTCATTGAAAAATTTAAATTTAAATTTTTTAAAATTTTAATTAAACTAATTAGTTATCTTAATTTTATTATATAATTATTTATATTATAAGATAATTATTTTCACTAATATATTCTTAATTATCTTAAATTTTTGTGTCTACATTAACCCAAGACCTCCAACGTGGGACAGAAGAATATATTTTTCGTAGTGATGTAGAAGAAAGAAAATGTGATATAAAAAAAAAATATGAAAGTAGAAATTGTAAGAAATTTTTGAAGAGTTTATTTGAGGCGATGGTGTAATCCCATTTGAGTATATTTTTTTAAGAAACAAAAATCACATGAAACATTATATATATATATATATATATATAAGAAATAGATCGGTGTGGAGTCCATTCCCATCAAATTTTTTTTGTCAAATTTTTTAATTTTATTTATTATTTTTTATTTTTTAATAAAATAAATATGTATTAAATGTCATTAAGTATATCATAATTAATAAAATTATAATTAATATATTTTTAATTATAATAAAATAATTGATTTAATTTTATGATTAAAGTAAACTATAATTTTGTCTTTATACCCCTAATTAAGGCTATTGAAAATGTAATAACTTTGGAATATAATTTTATTTATTTTTATAATTAAAATAATTATATTAATAATCAATAAAATTAAAACTATCATTAATTATATTTTATAATCTTAATATATATAAAAACGCAAATAGGTTTCATAATTCTATAGTTTTTTATTATTTTTAAATTTTAAAAAAAATTAAAATTAATTTAATATTTTCTTAATTTTTATTTATACCCATAAATAATGGATAATGAAATTTTCTAAAATTTTCATTATAATTGATATTAAATAATTATATTAATTGATATAGTTATAATTGATATAATTTATGAAACTATAATTAATCATGATAATTTGAAAATGTATTTTAATTATATGTATGAAAAATTGATCTCATATCAATTTATTGTTTCTTTCTATATTTATTTTTTAAAAAATAAATTTATATTAAATATTCATAATATATATACCATAATAATATACGTAGCAAATTTATAATTATCACAATCAATATATATAATTTGATAATATAATATAATATATATAGAATACTTCTTTCATTTCTTAAAATTAAATAATTGATTTTATTTCATAGTATTTGAAGTACTCATTTATTTTAATTTTTTTTTTTTATCTATTTATCTATGTAACAGAAAAAATCTAACTCATACCATTTTTTTCCTCATTATTAATTTTTTAATAAAAAAATTTTATACTATTAAATTAAATATTCATGATTAATATATCATAATAATATACTTAATAATAATAATAATACTATTAATGATAATTATAATACTAATTAATGATATTAAAAATGAATTAGTATTATTTCCAAAATTTTGGAAATTTTTAATAAATTTAATACTAATGTAATATTCTAATCAAAATATATAATTAATGTTAATTATATTCATAATAAATAATTTTTAAAATTTTAAAATTTTATTAATTTTATAACTAATTTAAAAAATATATATATTTTAAACATGCAGATTAATTATAATTATATTTGTAATTAATACATATTTTTTTTAAATAATAAAATTTTATTAAACACAATTAAATTTATTATGAGTAAAATTAATTCTGACATTTATGATTGAAAGTTACCAAATATTAAAGACGTCAATTACGATCAATTAATGTCGGTATTAATGACGAATTTGATGACAATTCTTATTTGAATGTCTATAAAAGACCATATCTTCACCCTCCTCTCAATCACAAGTCAACTTCTCATCCTTTCATCCTCTCAATTTTCTTTATATTTTCGGTAATATTTTTTCGGTGAGTTTCCGGTTAATATCTAAATAATGTTTTTATTTTCCTTCGCCATCCAATATAGTTGTTTTTTTCCCTTCATTTTAATAATCGGAGTTCCAAAATATTGTGACGCCACCTAATTTGAAGATGATACATCTTATTAACATATAATTTACTTATACTCTTTTATTTTATTTTTATTTTGTAATATGTATAAATAACTTCATATAATTTTATGTTTACATATATTTTTGTATTATTTATTTTTAGGTAATTCATATATTAGTTTATATTCAATAATAAAATTAAAATTAAAAATAGATTTATTTTTATTTGCAATATTAATTATATTTTTGTGTTATGCAGATTGCCCTCCACGGTAAGATCAGTTTCTTATCCATTTTAATCACACTTTAATCTCATTTGTTCTGTAATTCTCTTATTTTTTAGAAAATATTTTTCCTGTGAAAATATTTTTCCTGTGAGTCTTTTCTCAATTTTTTTGACAATGTTTCTATCTTTTTTAGCCACCAAATACAGTTTTTTTCTTTCATTTTAATTCATTGGAGTTCCAAAATATTGGGATTGTATCTAATCCAAAGATGATACAATAGTTTAAAGTATAATGTATTTATAATATTTTATTTTGTTATTGTTTTGTACTTTGTATAAATAATTTAATAGTATAACTTTTTTTTTTTTTGTATATTATAGATATTTTTCTATTATTTGCTCTTTAAATAATTTATATATTAATTTCTATTTAATAATAACATTACAATAAAAGTGATTTATTTTTATTTATAATACTCCATCCGTCCCTTAACAATCTATCCATTTTTCCATTTTGGTCCGTCCCATAACAAAGTATTTTTTTCCTTTTTTTAGTAATTGTACTATCTACCTAATATTACAAATATCCTTCTAATTTACAATATATTACACAAATGCCATTACCTTTATATCATACAATAATAATAGGGTTAATTTAGTCTTTTTACATTTATTTCTACTTTATCCAAATATAATACTAATATTTCTAAAACTCCGTGCAAAAGAAAATGGATAGATAGATTGGGGACGGAGGGAGTATATGTATTATATTATTCATATTTTTTTATTTAAATTAAAATTTCTTATTTATTTTAAATAAAAATAAAAATATTGATGATTTCATTGAGTTCTTATAATTTTATTCAAATATATTTATGTATATATAAATTTTCAATAAATCTATACAATTTTATTTTATTTTTCTTTATTTTTGATATTTTTATTAAAATAAATTTATATTAAATATCCATAATTAATGTACCATAACTAACATATTTAACAAATTATAATTAACACAATCAATAAATATTTTATAAATATAAAACTTGATAAAATTATTAAGAATACGATAGTATGATGTATATATATAATACTTATCTATTCAATTTAAAATTAAATAATAAATTTGAATTTAAAAAATAAATTTGCTATTATACATATATATATATTAATTACATAACTACTGATTATATAAATTTTAATTTTTAATTTTTAAGAAAAAATAATAGATTTCTTTTAATAAAAATTTAATGGAGACAAAAAAATATATAAAAATATTTGATAAACAAAAAAATAAAATATAAAAATATCGTGCATCGCACAAATTTTTCACTAATTTAAATTAAAGTAAAACACGGAAACCAAAAATAAGTACACCAGACAAGACCACGTGTGCTTGTTTCTTCATTGTTTTTTCCATTTTGAAATTGTAAAGTTAGCTTTGTCCCAACTTCAAACCGCCAATTACGATTACAAATTTTACAAACTGTCGATTACGATTTGTCAAAATATCAAATCGAAATCAAATATTTCGAATGACGATTTCGATTACGGTTTGACAGTTTTAATTACGGTTTATAAACCACCGTTTTCGATTTAAAAACCGCCGATTACGGTTTGAATCTTCGGTTTATATATATTCATTTTTAATATTTTTTTTTATTTTAATTTTTCTAAAAATTTGAATTTTATTTGAATTTTATTTAAATATGTTTATTATTTATTATATAAAAACCATATATATAAATAATTAATTAAATTTTTAAAATATAAAAATAATTAAAATAATAAATATAGTAAATAATTAAATTATAAAAATATTGTAATAGATAATAAAATAATTTAAATTATATATAATTATATAATAAAAAATTATAAAATATAAAACATAAATAAAAAATATTAATAGTATTATTATTTTTCAATATTATTAATAATTATTTATATGTATTAATATTATTATTGTTATATTTTAAATTTTAATTATAAATATAATAATATTATTATAAAATACACGTAATTTAACTCTAATGTCTAATCAGGCATCACATCCACACTCTACGGACGCAGCTCGCACAAAGTTTCTCCTCTTCCTTCATACGCCAGCCGCGCCTGAGCCCGCACACACCGGTTCTCCCTCTTCCTTCCTTCTTCCTCCCATTTCTTTCCTTTTTCTTCTAACCTCGGTCCTTCTCCTCCTTTCTTCTTCTTCTTTTTCTGTGCGCCTGCCTGCTCCTGCCATGGCGACAGATTTAAAAAAAAAAAAAAAAAAAAAAAAGCTAAACCGCCGGTTCATTAACCGTCGAACCGGCGGTTCGAATCGACGGTTCGAAACCGAATGGGCAAGTCTAATTTGAGGCGGATGGTATAATACATTTGAGTATATTTTTTAGAGAAACAAAAATCACATGAAAGATTATTTAAATTAAAAGTAAAACACGGAAACCAGACCACCACGTACGCTTGTTTCTTCATTCTTCTTTCCCTTTTGAAATGGTAAAGTGAGTTGTATCGTTATCGGTATTCTTTTGCATTTGCATTTGCATTTGCTCCACTCTTCTGCTACTTCCATCCTCCCCTCCGCCTCTCCGTCCTCTTCTCATCTTCGTCTTCGTTTCTTCTCTCATTGCTCTGTCGGATTAGGCCGAAATTAGAAGGGGTGGGCCGACACCCTAACAGGCCCCTACGCATGGGCTGGGTGGGCACTTTACCGAATTCAATTCGTTCCTGCAAAGGTCGGTACCAAATTCTTTGATTTTCTCATCTCGAAACGTGCCAAACCCTTCTTGCTTTTTTCCTATCGGATATTCGAATCGAATCCAATTCTCTCCTTTCATTGTCGCGTTTCCAATTAATGTGTGGCGTTGCAATCAAATAGATTGTATTTGATAGAATTCTCTGGCGCTGGCTGGATCGAGACAAATATCAACGATTTTTTTGAACAATTTGGCCCATTTTCTGGAAGAGATTTCGTTTCCGGTTTATTGCCATTTTTTGGAGGGTTTTTTATCCGATTTATTGCTAAATGCCACACCGCGGCGGCGAGGATTTTCTCCGGCGGCCGCGACCTCCATTTGTACTGCGTCGGTGGTGGCCTTCTGTTGCGGTTGTTTGATTTAACTGTAGTAGTTGTCGGAAGCAATGGCGTCGTTCGGCGGCCGAGGAGGTGGTGGTTGGTGGCGGTGGCGGTGGCGCAACGGCGGCGGAGGAATTGGTGGGAAGAGCGTTGCGAAGAATGGGAATGGAATTCAAAATATTGAGACGTTTGTTCTGTCGTCAGCCTTTTCGTATTTCCTAATCTGCTTTGTCGTTTTGGGTGCAATTGGGAGTTTGTACGGACGGTTCATGCTCGGTGCTAACGTGCGCTCTGGAAGGTGCCGAGAAGACAACGAGGGCTCCTGGGCCATTGGGGTCTTCTATGGCGACTCTCCCTTGTCTCTCAAACCCATCGAAGCTGTAATCCTCCTCCTCTTTCTCTTTCCTTTTGTCTATACATACATACATATGTATCTACATGTTTATACACAAGTATTGTTTATATATGCATCTATACTTTCTAGCTGGAATAGAATAGGGCTTTGGTTTCAGTATATTTATTTAATATGCATTTGTTATACTAGTAATTCTTTATATTATAATCTAAAACAGTAGGTTATAATGATAAGTGTGTTTGGTTCTGGATTTTGAGTTTGACCTTGAAAGAGTAAAAAAATTGAATTGAAATAAATGTAAGAGGCTATAAACCAGTTCTTAGTATAATATAGAATACAAAGAATAGTGTTCGATTTGATTTTTTTTTTTTTTTAAAACAACTTTAAATTACTTCTGTTTGAAGCTCTGATTTGTAATATGAAGTAGGTTTGTTTTTCTTACTTGTTGATATTTTGGTAGGAATAGTTGTCAATAGAGCTTAAATAGGTGTGTAGGGTGTAGCATACTGCCGCTGCTCGCAATAGCGACGTAGTGGTGTTTAGCATTTTGGAACAAAGCGCGAAACGCCTTTTAGATTGAATAATACTATCTTTATCCGGTAGTAAGGTATACTTTGTTATTTGCACGGAGGTTGAGAAATAGTAGTATTTAATAGTAGTTGTAGGTACTTTTTGTATGGAAAGATTTTTATGTTCTTATTTTTTTTTTTTAATTTGATGTAATGGTATTGATGTAAATAAGTGTAAATTTGAAAGTATTTGTAATGTGTAGATTGGTCAAGCTTACTAAAAAGAAAATGTATATCTTTTGATTGGACAAACGAAAAGAATATTGTGCAATGTGACAAATGTGCAATAGAAAATATGAATGAAAATTACGAAGAAAGATGAAGAAGAGAAAGAATATTCATACAAAAGTAGCAGTGATGGTGAAAATAGGAAAGAAATTATTTTTTAGATTTTGAACATGATTAATTTTGATTATCTATCTATTAAAGTAATTGTGTTCTAATTGTTTTTGCTTATATGATGATCTATGAGCTACGATTGTATATTTTTTGCAATTATATTGATTTGAATGATATTAATTGTAAATTTATATCTATAGTAAATTTTATATATACATTTTTAAATAGTGGTCATATATCCTTCATAAAATTTTAGAGATTGACCACTATGTAATGTTATTCGAGATTGACAACTATTTTGGTTGATGAACAGAAACTGAGTCTTTATTAATTGTATATAAATAAATTTAACTAGTTTTAAATCTCTAGTAGTGATTGCTTTACAGCATGTTCATTGTGTTCATTTTGTGTTTTTGACTTTTTGAATTGATAGTATTTTTTATGTTAGATGTAGTGAATTGTGGTGTTAATATAAAAAATAGTACTTTATGTTGAATTATTGACTTTTCGTGAATAGATAGAGTATATATATTATTTATTTTGTGTGAAGGTGTATGTATATTGTATTTTTTAATTGGGGATCGTGTCTTGATTGGTTTTCAATTCTATGGTTTTCAGCTCTCTGATTTTGTTCTAACAGAGTAACCCTTTTTTCTGTTTTCAATTTTATTTCATGAGATTAACTAGTTCTTCGAAAATTGGCGTGACAGATGAACATATGGAATAACAAGACTGCAGCATGGCCTGTAGCTAACCCAGTGATCACTTGTGCCTCCATTCCTGATGATACATTTCCCAGTAATTTTGTTGCTGATCCTTCTCTCTATCTGCAAGTAAGTCTCCTCAAATTTTGTAATTTACATTTCTTATAGTTATCTGTTAAAAGTAGTCGAGAATCTGATGTTGTTATGACAATAGATTAGGACTTTGTTCTTTCAGTGATTTAAAATATCTTCTTTTTCTTTTTGGAGATTTAAAGTTGTGTATTTATCTTATTTTTCTTTTGGACCTTTAAAGTTGTGTATGGCCAGCGGCCCTAGGCGGGGTGAGAGGGCATGGCCAAGGTCATTGTCAAGAGGTGGCCTATACCCCTAAGATTATATCTATAATATTTCAATTGTAATACAAATTTAAAATAATTATTTTTTAAAGTAAAATAAATAACTTTTGTTTTTTGAAAAAAAAAAAAAAATTATATAAATTATTTTGATATCAAATTTGAGAATTTTTTTTTTTAAAATTGATTTTTTCTTCTTATAAATAATTTTACTAATAGTATGTTCTTGTGTATATGAGTAGGTGTGTTTTTTCTTTTTAAGAATATTAATTTTTATGAGATAATAACATAAGAGTAGTATATTATATATATTGAGAATCGTGTAAAAAAAAATAGTTAGAAGAACAAACACAATATATTTTTCAAATTAAAATGATTGGAAATTTTGTTTGGAGCCATTGATGTTTTAAGAAAACATTTATAGATTTTGATCATTTTAGGTATAAAGAAATTCAATGTTAAAAAATATCCATAAATATTAGTAGTTTTAAATTTAAAAATATTTTTATATTTATTATTAATACAAAAATATAAATATATGTATTTAAACATGAGGGCCTTTTATATTATTTTTGCCCTGGCCTTCTAAAAGTCCGGCTAGAACGAAGTTTGTTTGCTTCGTGTTTAAATTTGAGTTTGGTATTTAATTAATGATGTTTTGTAAGAAAAAATAATTTATTTCGAAACTATGCAGAGTAAATAGTACAAAGTCCGAGTTAGAGTAACAAACCAAACAAATCCTTTCCTTGTTTTTTTTTTTTCAATCGGAAATCCTTACCTTGTTTTGTTTTTTTTTAGTGGAAATCCGTACCTTGTTTTTGTTTGAAGCATTGCATATTATAGTTTGGAACGAGGTAGTAAAAGTATCGATGATAAGTGGCAATTAATGAGGACCATTTACAGTGTTATGTTAATTTTCTCCGTTCCTTTCTTTAACATTTGATTCTCTTGATTAGGATTCTCGTTGTCTATAAGTGTTTATTTCTTCATCAGCACATACATAATTTGATGTTTGATTCCATGATTCAGGGTGATATACTTTACCTGTTTTTTGAAGTGAAAAATGCAATCTCTATGCAAGGAGACATTGCCGTTGCTCAAAGCATGGACAATGGAGTAACGTGGAAGCACTTGGGTATCGCTCTTGATGAAGATTGGCACCTTTCCTATCCGTATGTCTTTGAATACAACGGAAATGTAAGAACCCAACTTCCCGAGCACCTATATAATTGTCATTGTTTGCTATGCATTCTTGTATCTTGTTAGAATAATGAAATGCCGTGGAATTGCTTACTTTGATTGATATTTGCCAAGTTCATCAATATATAAGTATAAGATATTGTAGCGAAAGTATCTTGACGAGATGTGCTGTGTTAGTTGAAGTCATGTTGGCTTCTCATTTCGATATAATTGCTTGTATTAAGTTCTCGGTTCTGTTTTTGAGCAATTTGATTGATATTCATCAAATTTTCTTGTTTCATCACATATATATGTTAATGTATTGTAGCGCAAGTATCGTTGACGAGATGTGCAGTTTTAGCTGAAGTCATGTTGTCGTCTCATTTCAATATAATTGCTTGTATTTAAATTCACGGTTGTCTTGTTGCTGTTTAATTTTATTGGTATTCGCCAATTTTTCTTGTTTCATCGCATATATACGTATAATGTATTGTAGCGCAAATATCTCTGACCTGATGTGCTGTTTTAGATGTCATGTTTTCTTCTTATTTCGATATAATTGGTCGTATTTAAGTTCTTGGTTCTGTTGATTGTTGCAGATATACATGATACCCGAAAGCAGCGGGAAAGGGGATGTTCGTCTTTACCGTGCAGCCGACTTTCCTTTAAAATGGATGCTCGACAGGATTATCTTGAAAAAGCCTCTCGTCGATTCCGTCATAATTTCTCACGGCGCAAAGTTCTGGCTTTTCGGTTCTTATCACAGCGGAATGGGCACCAAGGTAAACGGGAAGCTCGGGATTTGGCACAGCGATTCGCCTCTCGGCCCATGGACGCCTCACACAAAGAATCCTATATACAACACAGGCAAGAAACCGGGAGCTCGGAACGGAGGCAGACCATTTGTCTACAACGGAAGCCTACACCGTATCAGCCAAGATTCCGGCGAGACATACGGGCGCAGAATCCGCATCTCCAGAATCGAAACTCTGACTACCGACGATTTCAAAGAAGTCAACGTTCCCTTCAGCATCGAACAGCCTATGAAGGGCTGGAATTCTTGGAACGGCGCGCGATACCATCACTTAGACGTACAGCAGCTCAGCTCCGGAAAATGGATCGCAGCTCTCGACGGGGACCGAGTACTTTCAGGAGACGTAATGCATCGGTTCATGCTTGGGTCTGCTTCCGTCACAGCTGTTGCCGCCGTCATCGTACTTGTCGGAATACTCGTCGGGACGGTGAAATGTATAGTACCGTTGACGTGGTGCCCGCATAACACGGGGAAGAGGAACGATGCCGTCTTGGCTTCCGAGAAGCGCAACTTATCATCGACGCTACGATTTTGCTGTAGCCAGATGAACCGGGCGTGTTCGACTCTCCATTCGAAGTTACGCCCGAACACGTGCGTCGGAACGCTCGTCCTTGTTCCGGCGATTGTCGTGGCCATGATCCTCACTTGTGCCGGAGTTCATTTTATATACGGAGGGAGTGGCGCGCAGGACGGATACCCGTTCGACGGCCACTACTCCCAGTTCACGATGCTTGCGATGACGTACGACGCCCGTCTCTGGAACTTGAACATGTACGTAAAGCATTACTCGAGATGCTCGTCCGTGCGCGAGATTGTTGTCGTTTGGAACAAAGGCGTCCCTCCGAAACCGAGCGATTTTGATTCCGCAGTCCCTGTAAGGATACGCGTCGAAGACCGAAATTCGCTGAACAACCGATTCCGCGCCGACCCGCTGATAAAAACCCGGGCAGTCCTCGAGCTCGATGACGACATCATGATGGCGTGCGACGACGTGGAGCGCGGGTTCCGGATTTGGCGTGAGTGGCCCGACCGGATCGTCGGGTTCTACCCTCGACTCGTCGACGGCAACCCTCTCGAGTACCGAGCGGAGAAGCATGCGCGGAAGCACAACGGGTACAACATGATTTTGACGGGGGCGGCGTTCATGGACGCCCGGGTCGCGTTCGAGCGATATTGGAGCGAGCGAGCGGCGGCGGGGCGAGCGGTGGTCGACGAGTACTTCAACTGCGAGGACGTTTTGTTGAACTACTTGTATGCGAATTCGAGCTCGTCGGGTGGTCCTCCGGTGGAGTACGTGAGGCCGGCGATGGTGATCGATATGTCCAAGTTTTCTGGTGTGGCGATTAGTAAGAACACCCAGGTGCATTACGGCATACGGAGCAAATGTTTGATGAAATTTGCGGAGCTTTACGGCGGCATAGCTCACCGGAAGTTGGAATTCGGAAGAAGGAAGGATGGGTGGGATGGATAGATAATACTACTTGCTACAACTACTACTTAACAGAATCAATGCAGCTGCCTTTTCTTTTTATTTATTATTTTATTTATTAAATATTATTATTTTTATTAATTGGTAGTATTCTTGGATGGCTGCAGTCGGAGAGCTTTGTTAGGTGGCGCGGCATTTTTTTCCCTTGCAGCATTGGCTTACTACTTGTTAAATCTATTTTGTATTTCAATTTTTACTCTCCGTAATTTATAATTACATATAATACTTACGACGGTAGTTACAATGCTAGTTTAAATCAGATAATAAATCATTAGTCTAATAAAAATACTTTATTTTGGGTTCGGCCGAAAGTTAAAAAATGAGAATAGTAAAAGGACAATTTAAAGTATATTTGAAATTTTACTTAATAATTAAAGTGAAGAAAGAGATAAGATAATAAAGTTAGTGATTCTTTTGTTTTAAGTAAAATATTAGATTTTTTTGACTTTGTTAAATACTTATATTCTAAAGCAAATTTAAGAGACAAAAAATAAAATTAGAAATAAATTTGACGGACTGAAAAAGTATTATATTAGATGGTACATAAATTAGGGCAAACGGATATTATAGTTAAGTAAGTAAAAAAAATTTGCATTTTTAGCCTTCCGGCGCCGAAGATGCCTACGTGGCACTCGCATAGCTCGTCGGAGGACACGTGTCCGCCAAATCAACAATACTTGGCGGAAAGGTGGATTTTTTGGAATTTTTATTTAAAAAAATAATTTGTTTATATTTGCCTATTTTTGTAAAAATTTAAAAATTTCAAAAAAAAAAAAATAATAATGAAAATGAAATTTTTTTTTTAAAAAAATAAAATCTACATTTCCACCATTTGTCGCTAGCCGGGCGGACATGTATCATTCGGCGAGCCACATGGATGCCACATAGGCATCTTCAGCGCCGGAGGACTAAAAGTGAAGAAAATTTTCACTTATGAAACTAATTTGTAACAAATCGTAGTTACGAGACTAAAATAAAATGAATGCAGTTAGGAAACTAAATAAATACTTTACCCTATAAAATATAAATTAGCAATACATATGGTATAAATCAACAATACAAAACGATCGTAGTTATTTATGCTGAATTTTTTAATCAGCAAATTGCTGAAAGTACAGTATATAACAACAAATAACACATACCCGTAATGAAATACCAGGTGATGTAGGGATAGACTCGTGACCGTGAGGTTATAGATTCACATTTCGACGAATAGTGACTACAAATTCCCACATTAAAAAAAAAAAAAAAGAAAGAAAAAACAATATATAATTTATACTAATATATTATAAATGTTGCACATGATAATTATCTATTCACTATATTACTATTAATTTCAACGTATAAATATGTATATACAACACAATCTATAAATAAAACTATAAACAGATAATTTCAACTATCACAACATATATTATACTAGTTGAAATTATATGTTGTTGGGCTATTTATAATATATTGAATTGAGAAATCAATACTATCTAATTTCTCATAATCAACATAGTAACTTCTTTTGTACATAATATATTCCAACACATGCAAACAAAATATTTATGTGTGCTAATTGTTGGTCCCAACTTACCAATTCCAGTAAACAATAAGGACAGAATCTCAACATACCAATATGAACTCAATTAACAGAAGGTTTGTAATCAGACCAAACAACGTAGACACATAGACACACTGAAGGCAGTAAAGCATAATGCAAAAATCAATTGTTAACCCAGTTCGGTCATCAATGACCTACATCTGGGGGTTCCAACACAAGCTCATCTCGACTATAAAAGAACTGGTTCGTGGTTACAGTGATATCCTCTACAATGTTTAGCTCATAGAAATCCCAAAATGCCCAACTCTCAGATTTCCTGTTTGCCTCGCATCACACACACTATCTCACTCACCAAACTCTCTTTTCTTCCATTTACATCACACTACCCTGTGTTCAACCAACTCACCTGCATACCTCACATGATTAATTGTATATCACCTTTTTGTTTGTTGTAACAGAATCGCAAATCTATCACCGTTACATGCGTAGAGGGAACCCGCCTTCTTCACATTTCTTTCTGGTAACATCTATTGGATATTTCATATTGGGCCATATTTGAGTCATCAAGCCCAAACTCAATTGGGCTTCAATACGTCACTGGATTTCGCTGGTTGATTGACTTTCCTGCAGACAATCATCAACCAAAAATAAAAATCATAAATCTTTAACACTAATAAATTGTACTCTGTATGATATGATGATTAGAGTTAATCAATACAGTACTAATTACCTTTAATTAAAATCCTAACTACTCTCATAAATTTATGTATAAAGATGCATATTTAAAGAAAATGCTATTTGGAGGATGTAAAACATAAAAAATGTTTTTGAAATATTTTAAAATTTGTTTACATTATAGGCAATTGTTTAGGATACACATTATAATTGATCTCAACAATAGATTGGATCTGTTTCTTTAGGCACGGTTTTGGAAAGATAGAGATTGAGTATGAATTGTATTTGAATTTGGAGTGAGTTTAGTTTTTATTATTTATTTAGATATATAAGTTTGGTTTGGGTTGGAGGGATTTATGATATATATTGATTTAATAGATGACAATTATATTAGATTAAATAAATTAAAGTTTTTGTTAATAATATTGTATTTTAATATAAAATATATTATTTTTATTATAAATTTATTTAAAAAACACATTTAAATAAAAAAAAATGAAAAAAAGAACAAAATCATTTTACAGTAGCCGCCACCCTTTCCTCCACTGTAGTTTTCTTCTTTCTTCTTCTTCTTCTTCTTTTCTTTTCTTCTTTTTCTTTCATACCTCTAAAAATTTCCTGACAGTAGCCGCCTGTTCTCTAACTTTCGTCGCCGCCCGGTGATGCTTGCCGTTACCCTTCAACGCTGCCATGTGCGCCGATGGTCCTCCTTCGGTGAGCGATTGTGAGAAGATGGACGAACGCGGACCCAAAGTCGCCATCGATTAGTCGAGGGGGATTAAGGTTGCACGATTCGAATATTAAGAAAAAATCATTACATTAAAACGTAGTACAAATTAAAAAAAAATTGCAAAAATACTTTCATTAGTATCTTATAATAATAATAGAAGGAAATTTGTATAAAAAATTATATACGGATATTTTTAATATTAAGTACAACAAAATAAAAGGTAAATGTAACCTTAAAGGTGGACGGAGAAAATATTAAATATTGGGTAAAATAATTATGTAAGATTTCTTTATAGTTTCAAAAACTCTGTATTTAAATCTCATTTTGTCATTAGTTAATTGTGACTTTGCAGTTACAAAATTTCAAAATTACCTTCGCAGCGTCTAAAATAATCACTGTTAACTAATGACAGAAAAATATTTAAATACGAGGGTTTTAAAACTAGTAAGTTTGATGCAATTGTTAAACAGAAATTTCGTATAATTTTCTTAAAATACAAGGACTCATGAATTGCAAACTTTGACCCAAGGAAAATGGTCATACGAAAACATATTAACCTATTTTTTTGTAGAAAGAGACACTAGTTAGCCTTTGCAGGTTGTCCTAAACTCCTAATCCTTAGTGGCGATTAATAAATTCCTTTGTCAAAAGAACTTTAGAGGTGTGTTTCTCCGGCCAGGTTTGGGCTCGATCACTTTGCAAACAGTGTTTACATAGGTTGGACGGTTTGGGGGACTGGAGATGACATGTTCCTGTAATTTTATTTTTATTTTTAAAATTTAAATTATAAATATAAATTAAAATTTTTATAATATGTATAATTTAATAAAATATATATAATATATATGTCATTTTGTAGAGAATTTTTTTTTTTTTATAATATAGGTAAATAAAAATTTAGAAATATATATATAGATATAATATAAATTTATAATTAAATTATACAAATTAATACACATTTATATTATTATATTTATTACTTATCAAATCAAGCATATCAAAACTCCCCAAACCCCAACCAAACATAAACACAAAAAAACATCAAAATTCAAATAAAAATCAAACTCAAATCCAAATTTCCCAAAGTCTCTCCCATCCACTTATTACAATCTTGTAATAGCAATTTCAAAATTTTTATCTATTTAAATATATTTAAAAATATATATACTCCATCCGTCTCATAATAAATATTTATTTTCCTATTTTAGTTCGTCTCATAACAAAATATTCATTTCATTTTTTAGTAATTGTACTATCTACTTAACATTACAAATACCCCTATAAATTACAATATATTACACAAATGTCATTACCTTTATATTACACATACTAATAAGGTTATTTTAGCAATTTTTTCTTTATTTCTACTACATCCAAATATAATACTAATATTTCTAAAACTACGTGCAAAAAGCAAATTGATATTTAGTTATGGGACAGAGGGAGTATTATATTTATGGTAATTATCGTATTTAAGAGATTTGTAGAATTTTTGCATTATTTAGATTATTTTTATTGTTATTATAAATATGTACAAATTCTATGATTGTAAAAGAGAATTTAAGTTTATTATTCTAACATAGTATCAAAGTCAAATTCTCTCCGGGTACATCCATGACCCGTTATATCTTGTATATATTTTTATATTTTATTGATATATCTGCTTTTATTAACGGTCATTCTGTCAGTTCATGCGGTTGTCTCATTCTCTGCTACTTTGATCTCCATTGATAGAGTTTTATTTTCGACTCTATCGCCGTTGAGGGTCATGTTTTCGACTCTAACTCGAGCGAGTCCTATTTCTGACTTTAGCTCTGTTGTAAGCGAGCGAATCCTGTTTTCGACTTTGGCTCTGTTGTGAGTGAGTGAATCCTGTTTCGGACACTAGCTTTGTTGTGAGCGAGCGAATCTTGCTTTCGACTCTAGCTCTATTAAGAGTGGACGAATCCTATTTTCGACTCTAGTTTCGTTGTGAACGAGCGAGTCTTATTTCCAACTATAATGGTGTTAAAAGTTTTGCTTTTGACTTGGATTCAATGGACCTACTTTCGGTCAATCTTGGCAAATTCAAGTTCGTTTATGGAAGATCTCCGCTATATCTTTTTTGGTCACTTCTGACAAACTCAAACTTGTTCGATCATATCTTAAATTTGAGGGATGTTAAAATATATTTAAAATATATATTATATTTATGATAGTTATTGTTGTGAATTTATTCCTAGATCGATTGGATTATTCAAACAAACCTCGTATACAAAATACAACAATGGATTAA